ACAATACATTTGAGCAAATACTCCTAGAATGGGTACATGGGTGGAAAAATGTGCTGGTGATGATAGGACATACCAAATTTGTTTTGTATACAAAAGTTTTCTCTCCTCATAAAAGCTGTATGTAGTTACTATTCAAATGTCAAAACAAGCCCAGCCAGTGTGACTCAGTAGTTGAGTGTCGACCCATGTACCAAAAGGTCACCAATTCGATTCCTGGTCAGGGCACATGCCCAGATTGAGGGCCCAATCCCCAGTGGAGGGCATGCAGAAGAAGGCCAATCGACGTTCGCTCTCATCGATGTTTCTCTCTTTCTCTCCCTCTCCCTTGCTCTTTCTTTCTCTAAAACCAATAAAGAAATTAAAATAAAAAATATAAATTTCAAAACAAAAGGTCAAATTAGAAAAACAAGGAGGCATTAAGGATGGCTATCTGCATTTTCAAATTATTTCTCATGCACACATGTGTATCCTTTTAAAAATGGGATCGAAGTGTATGTACCATTTTATATATTATAAACATCTGAAAAGATAATATATTTTTATTGATTATATTTAGAAAATGGCAGCATGCTGATATTTTATTCTATGCATCTTTTTTTCCCACGTGGCCATGATGAATCTGAATCTGGCTGTACATTTGAAAATTTCCATTTCTTCCCTAAGTACTAAGCCAATTTTTTTTCTTAGCAAGAATTCTGTTCTTTATTGTTCAATGTAAATTTTTATTTAGCTTTTTAAAAATCCCTTTAGCTCTTCTTTACCCACTTTCCTTTACATTTCATCCATGCCACTTCACTCTACTGTTTCCGTGTGACTCTGCTCTTGTTGCACAGAGACACGTCTTCCTGTAATTGACTTATGAAGCAAATACTTTCTGAAAATTTATTTTTTTCCAGCCAGCCTCCCAGATGCTACTCTCTTTTCCTTATTCAGCAATGGTTTATTTAAGGCCCATGTAGGTTTTCTTTTTATTCATCTATAAACAGGTGAGAAGTGCTTAAATTTGGTGGCTGTCAACAGGTGAGGGAATGGTCTTTTAACTCACACTCCCCATTCTTCTGCATGGTGATCAAAACCTAATTTCAGATATTTATTTAGTTGCAGGGCTGACAGATTTGCACAAGACCCAGTTAAAATTCAGTTTCCAGTAGGTATGAATACATTGTATTTGTGTTCCACTGAAATAGTACCTTCCTCTTACTCCCACTGCTTGGTCTGTACTGATAGTATATTAAACATGACTTTTCCCAGCACGTACTACACTATTTCTAATGTTTTTGCTCTCTCTAGGCTCCTCTCAAGTTCCTTACTAATCATCATTATCAAGGTGTAATTAATAAGCCAATCTGGATTGTAAAGGAAAATAAGTATGCACATCTTCTAAATTATGACTCTGGCACTTTAGTTTATTTTTCTTCTTCACAGTTACATATTTAAATAGTTTAAATAATCATTATTTCTAAAGACTCATGGCAATAAACAGGTCTCTCACATTTGCCTGCCCTGTCCCATTTCCTATCTTTTAAAGGCAAATATTTCACCTCTTTCAGAGGATTTTTTTGGGGTGGGGGAACACTTACCTCCCTATTTCTAAATAACCTGCTTGTATTGCTGGTTCTGTTATTTTCAGTTGAATGCATTATTTACTGATTTCCTATCCTATTATGTAAGATGAGGTCTGGGTTTTCTTTTAGTACTATCCCACCCTCAATATCCCACTCATCTTGTCCCTCCATCCTTCCAATATTGCTTTACAGTTAGATAAGTTTTCCACTATTTACATTAAATTCTAATTATGGATGATAGATAGTGTATTATGATTATTTTCCTTTACAACTTCTGGTTGTCAATGGTGTTAAAAGGTTATCATTTTTGTTTTGTGTATTTAGGACATCATCAGTTTCTCTCCTGTGTAAAGTACTCTACTGATTTTGTCTTCTTAGATTTATCTCTTCTAGAATCTTCTCAACTGTTCCAATATGAACTGGTTACTTTCTCTTATCATTTGTCTTAGAATCTCCCTTCATCTTCATTCTGGGGAGTCTTTTATCTTTCTCTTGTATTGTACTGCTTGTGTCTTGGATCCCAAATCTTAATTTTTCTTGCTTTACATCTTCATTTAGTTCAACTAAATCCTCTCATAGCTTCCAGAAAACAGCTTACATAAAAAACAGATATTTTTGAAACTTTGCTTATCTAAAAATATACTCTACTTATAAATTTAATAAGTAGTTTGACTAGAGGTAAATTTATAGGCTGGTGGGGTATAATATAAAATATAAAATATGTCTTTGTCCCTTCATTTCTGTCACAGAACTTCAAAAACACTTGGAATTCACCGAGTTTGTTGTGCAATTAGGGTGACTCAAGGAGGGCCCCTAGAAAGCTTCAGGATGGGGGCTGGTCACCAGAAAGATGAACCACATTACTAGAGCGCTGAAATTCTGGGCCAGACTGACCTTCAGGGAAGAAAAAGGGCTGGAAACTGAGTTAAATCATGTAGCCACTTACTTGATCACACATGCCTACATAATGAAACCTTAATAAAAACTCTGGACACCAAGCTCAGTGGAGCCTCCTGGTTGATGAACACACTTATGTGCTAGGAGAGTGATGTGTCCAGATTCTGTAAGGAGAGAGCAGGAAAGCTCTGCATCCTCCATTCTTCACCTTCTCTAGATCTTGCCCTATGTATTTCTTCATTTGGCTGTTCCTGGTCTGTATCCTTTATAATAAAACTAATTGTAAGTGTAGTACTTTCAATGAGTTCTGAGTCATTTTAATGAATTATCAAACTAAGGGGGCTGTGCAAAGCTCCAAATTTGTAACCAGCTGGGTGCCTTGGCATCTGAAATGGGAACAGTCTTGTGAAGGACTCTGCCCTAATCTATAGGGTCTATGCTAACTTCAGGTCATTTCAGAACTGAATTACACTGTGGTATACGAATATGTGGTGAAATTTATAGCAAGGTGGGCAAAGTGAAGGTGGCTTAGGGACACTGAAAACTTGCAGGTGGTGTCTGAAGTGAAAGCCATCTTGTGAATGACATTACCCCAGTTGGGTATACATTAGTTCTGGGTAGTGTCAAAATTGAAATGAATTGTAGGACACCCAGTGGGGATGTCAGAGAATTTCTCCATTCTCTTTCAGGAACTCTTTTTTATTTGGATATTGAACACTAATATAATAACACTGTGCTTTTGTCATCTTTTCTATTTTCCATCTCATTATCGTTCTGTTCTACATTCTGAGAAATTTATCTTCTAACCTTTCTAGTGATTTTTTTTACTTCTGCTCTCACAATTTTAATTCCCAAGAATTGTTTTTTAAGTTCTCTGAATGTTCCTTTTATATACCATCATTTTCTTGCCTTTTATATGTATTATCTTTTACCTGAGTATATTAATGTTAGCTTTATTTTTTAAAAAGTTTTCTTCTTCTTGCATAGTATCTGTTCCACGAAATCTTTCTTACCAGAAACTTAAAAAATATGTCTGGGAGGTCTTGCTTGGCTGTTGGGGCTCAGTGGCTGAGTGTCAACCCATGCACCGAATTCACTAGTTCAATTCCTGATCAGGTTGTGGGCCTAATCCCTAGTAGGGGGCATGCAGGAGGTAGCCAATCGATGTTCTCTCTCATTGATGTTTCTCTCTCTCTCTCTCCCCCCCCCTCCCTCTCTAAAAATCAATAAAGAAAAAAAAATGTCTGGGATGTTTAGCTATGCATCCATATTTAAGAGTGGGCCACCTATGAAGAAGTTAAGTGAAACTCTATGCCTGAGGAATGAAGTCTGTCATCTATAGCTATGCTATAAGGTGGTCTGGCTGCATTGTTATATTGAAGAATCCTCCAATGTTAGTGTCTTTAGATCTTCTTTTTGAGGGGTTAGTCATATTTCTTAGCAAAGTTGCTACTAGAAACTTGCCTGTATTATAAGCCTGGATGCTAATGAAGGTTTCAGCATCCAATAAGTAAATTTTTACTTAATTTAGCACTTAGTGTGGTACCTCCAACTTCAATTATAAGCTTACTCTACCCAAAGATCCATTGTTTCCTCTTCTGAATAACTTTCACCTTTTGCTGGGATTGGAAAGGAGCAGTCACCCAGCCATACAGAGTTGAAGAGTGGCCCTGGAGTCTCCACCAACTTCTTAATAGATTTTTAATCATACTCTTGGTTTTAGCCTTCATTTGAATTCTCACATCTAGAGGTACCTAGTGTAACCAATTCTGGAATCTTGATCATTCCACAGTATAAAACAAATTGCTTCATAACGTCCTACTGCTGAGTTGGGGTCAACTCTCTATCATGTTGGAATAGTGCATTTGTTTACCTGCCTTCCAGCTCCAGAACTGTATTGATGTTACCTTCCCTGGTCTTTGTGCCTGTTTCATTTTGTCCTTTTACTGTCAGTTTAATGGGGTTGTGGAGTAAGCATAGATAAATGTGCATGATCAATTTTAACTACAAATTACTACAAAAAAAGCTTATTTACTAGTTGATAATAGCTAAATTAAGTTAGTTATTTAATTATATGTAAATTGACAACTGAAATAAGGTATCTGTATTTTATGGTTCTATTTTTTTTTTATTAATATGTTTTCATTGATTTTTTAATAGAGTGAGGAAGGGAGAGATAGGAACATCAATGTGAAAGAGAAACATCAATCAGCTGCCTCCTGCATGACCCTCACTGGGGACTGAACTCGCAACCTGGGCATGTGCCCTGACCAGGAATCAAACCGGGAACTCTCAGTCCATGGGACGATGCTCAATCCGCTAAGCCACATCAGCTGGGCTCTATAAACTTTTGCCTAAAAGTTATAAATAAATCAAAGTAATCAAGGTTTTCGATAATTTAATTTCATGAAAAAGTTTATAAAGTATCTCAATTCTCTAGAACATCTATATTTCAATGTCATCACATTAATTATGTATTCCTTTCTTAGAATAACTACCTATATTTATACCTGCAAATAATAAAGATAATTTACTAACCTCTGCTTCTGTTACTTGGGACTGTAAAAGCTGTCGTATTCGAAGTATGTCCTTCTCTATTTGTTGAATTCTGGTTACTCTTCGCTAAAATAAAACAAGTGATCAAATTAGATTTATTTTTATTAAAGACATTAGTGTAAATAATCATACTATGGCTACCAATTAACATGTCAGGATTACGCCAGACAATTAGAAGTTAGATATTTATATTCACACACTAATGACATTTAGGTTCAGTTCAATTTTTTAGTACATCTAACTTTACACAATAGATCTATAGCTGTTTAGCAAAATGGTACAATTATATGTCAAACTGTATAATCATGTAGTATAAAAAATTGGTGTTTAAAAGCTATTTTCAAAAAATATTTCAACAAAGAAAATTACACCCGAATTTAATCTCTTATATTAAACTACTCCAGATGTCAATATAATGTAATAAATTTATATAAAACATGGTATACCTGTAAAGGGAAAAAATATCTCATTTGTTTCAATAAACATCAAGGTTTAAACAGTAAGATTAACCTTCCTCAAAGTTATTCCTATTATAAGTCAGTAGTACTTTCAGATTTAGCTTTTCCAAATACCTACTGCAGCTAAACATTATTTTTATTCTCAACACTGGGATCACAATGATGATCGAGCCTTTGCTTACTCACTATCCCGAGACCATCAGTGAAAAAAAAGCAGTAACTACAAATCAAACATTGTGGAAATGAAATAATGGAAAAAGTGCTTGTAGAAAAGGCTAGATTTTGCTTTAATTTTTATAAATACTAACAGAAGTGGAAAAAACCAAATCACCTATATATAAAAATTTTGCAAACTGAAATTATTTTTAATTAGCTTTATGATAGATCAAACATACAGGTTTTAAAAACAAGTACTGCCAATGCTGTATAATTTTCTGAAATAATTCTATAGTTGACATCCTAATAAGGTATGAAAAACTGTATTATAAGAGTAAATATTTTGATGGGAGAAAAATGTTAGAAGCTAGATGAGAGTTGTTTCCAAACACTTCTTTTATTATGAGCCCCATCAATAAAAGATCTCTGGCCCTGGCCGGTTTGGCTAAGCGGTTAGAGCGTCGGCCTGCGGTACAGAGAGACCTGGGTTTGGTTCCCGCTAAGGGCATGTACCTCGGTTGCAGTTTGTGCCCGGCCCTGGTTGGTCGTGCGGGTGGCAGCCACTCGATGTGTCCCTTCACATCGATGTTTCTCTCTCTCTCTTCCTCTCTCTCCCTCCCGCTCTATCTGAACAAAAAATGGAAAAATGTCCTCAGGTGAGGATAAAAAATAAATAAATAAATAAATAAAAATAAATAAATAAAAGATCTCTGAACATGTATAACCCAATAGATAAATAAAATTACTGTAACAAATAGCTTTAAGCATATATAGTTATAAAACTTATCAACAAAATTCACCCTTTGATCATATCTAGTTTTGCGTAAATAGCCATGTCCTCCTTTTCTTATTACAATAAAAATGCTTATTGCTGCTATTATCCAATGTTATGATAAACACAGAAAAGCTCAAAGAAGTGCTCACACACAAAAAAATCCTACTTCTTCTCTCCCTTCCTTTGTAACACTACAACTATGATGATTCTATCATGGTTCTGAAAATAGTGAATAATATTCTCTAATAAACAAATCTTACTAAGTCTAATTTACATAATGAAAACATGCTGAAGAAGAAATGTACTTTTGGTAGCCTTCTAAAGATAATGCAGAGATGAGTGATCACTTCTACAACCAGATGGTAATATTTCCTGATTTTACAGAAACCGAACTACACACAATTACTAGCTTTGTAATATTTTATTGTTTCCCCCTTTCTCTATATAACTAGCTCCCCTCCACCAATAAAGTCATAAATTAAAAATTTTAATATTTAGAGAATGAAAATGGAAATTATATCTACTATTCTTCTCCATAACACTACACTTCTATATTGCCAATGTATCACGAAATCCTAAGTCAAGTCTATGTCATAATGTCCACTGAGGTGGATGATTTCTGACATGACTACACTCATGCTTCCGTTTTACAACATGAAAACAGAAGAGGCCAGTAGTATTTTTCTTTTTCTATATGGTAATCTCGAATATTTATTAAAATATGTTTACTAAAAAATGCTTAATTGTTCAGGAGTATGGCGTTAGTATGACTTTGAAAAATAGATTTAAAAAATTACAATAGCAATATAGTTCAATACAGATTCAGGATAACCTCAAGAAATTAGGAACAGAGAATAAATTAACTTGATAAAAGGGTATCTCCCATAAACCTTGAGTAAACAAAATATTTAACAATGAAATTACAGAATCCCCTTTAAAGTCAAGATAAGACAAAGGAGATCAGTGCTTCTTATTCAAAAATATATTAGAGTTCTTACACAATACAAAGAAAAAACAAAACACTGGAAAAGATAAACTTGTTATTATTTGCGAATACTATGACAGTTTATATAGAAAAAAATTTAAAAATCTTAAGCTAATAAGACAATATAATAAAACAGTTCAGTCCTGGCTGGTTTTGCTCAATGGTCAGCCCCGCGGACCAAAGAGACTCTGGTTCGATTCTGCTCCACGGCACATACCTCGGTTGTGGTTCATCCCTGGCCCTGGTCAGGGTCATGCGGGAGGCTACCAGTCGTTGTGCCTCTCTCACATCCATGTTTCTCTCTCTCCCCCTCCCACTCTATCTGAATATAAATGGAAAAATATCCTTGGGTGAAGATTAAAAAAAAAAAAGAGCCCTGGCCAGTTTGGCTCAGCGGTTAGATAGAGCATTGGCCTGTGACCCAGAGAGACCCGGGTTCGGTTCCTGCTAAGGGTATGTACCTCGGTTGCAGTTTGTACCCGGCCCTGGTTAGGTCGTGCGGGTAGCAGCCACTCGATATGTCTGTCCCTTTCACGTCGATGTTTCTCTTTCTTTTTCTCTCTCTCTCTCTCCCTCCCTCCCTCCCTTCCTCCCACTCTATCTGAACAAAAAAAATGGAAAAATGTCCTCGGGTGAGGATAAAACAAAAAAAGAGTTCAGGAAGATTATTGGATACTTATTACTTAAATGTAATGTAGTAATGTAATTTTTAAAAGCCCACTCACAGTATCAACAGAAACCATAAGATATCTAGGGATAAATCTTTAAAATACTGTTTCTAGAGCCCAGCTGGTGTGGCTCAGTGGTTGAGGATCGATCCATGCACCAAAAGGTCACGGGTTGGATTCTCGGTCAGGGCACATGCCAAATACCCAGTGGAGGGCACGCAGGAGGTGGCCAATTGATGGTCTCTCTCACTGATGTTTCTGTTTCTCTCTCCCTCTCCCCTCCTCTCTCTCTAAAAATAAAGAAAGAAAAATTTTTAAAACCCACAAAACTGTATAAGACCTGGTTTTGCTCAGCAGTTAGAGCATCGGCCCACAGACCTAAGAGTTACAGGTTTGATCCCTGGCCCCTATTGGGGTGGTGTGGGAAGCAACCAATTGATGTGTTTCTCTCACATCAATGTTTCTCTCTTTCTCACACCACCCCTTCCAGTCTATCTAGAAATCAATGGAAAAGGTATCCTTGGGTGAAGATTGACAACAACAACAAAAATACATTTAACATAATAGAAAATGGTAAAGATATGAACAAACAGAAAGAAAATAAAAAATTCTAACAAATATATCAAAAGATATTTAACTTCAGTAGCATTCAAGGAAGTATAAAGTAAATGACAAGTTAAAATGTCATTGCCCAATGGTTGTTAATTATCAAGTCAGACTTAAGTACTAAAGAAGACAAGCAGAAGAATGAATTCTCAAATACTAATCAACAAAGTCCTTTTGAGTGCAATTTGCCAAACATTAGTTCAAAACACGCATACCTAATGGCCAGCAATTATACCTTTAGATATTTACCCTAGAGCAGAAGTCAGCAAATTAGGGCCTGAGAGCCATCCATTTTTGTGGATTGTTTTATTGTCACATAGCCAGCCATGTTCATTTGCTTACATACTGTTGTCTATGGTTGCTTTCTTGCTACAAAGGCAGAGTTGAGTAGTTGTGACAGAGACTATATGGGTCACAGTGTCTAAAATTTTTACTATCTGGCCCATTAAGAAAAAGATTGCTAATTTTTTTTTATCCTCACCCAAAGACATTTTTGCATTTATCTTCAGATAGAGTGGGGAGGAGAGAGGGAAAAAGAAAGAGAGAAACATCGATGGGAGATATACACATCGACTGGTTGCCACCCACACGAACCCAACCGGGGCCAGGGACAAACTGCAACCCAGGTACGTGCCCCTTAGCGGGAACCGAACATAGGTCTCTCTGGTCTGCGGGCCGACGCTCTCATCACTGAGCCAAACCGGCCAGGGCAACATTGCTAATTCTTGACCTACAGAAACTCTTGCAAATATCTACAACATATGAATAAGTATGTTTATTCTAGATGTTTTAACAGTGAAAAAATTATTAACAACTTAAATTTCTATCAACCAGGAAATAAACTATATTAAACTATACCATTCATATAATTATAAAAAATTATGACAATATAAAAATGTAACTAACCTTCACCCTACCACTTCTCACTTCCCAGAAGTAAGCTCTAATTAACTTGATGTACATTTTTCCAACCTTTGCTTACATGTATGTTTATGGGAGAGTAGGGACCACCATAACATGTGCCTAAATAAGTGTTGAACAAATAAAGTAGTAAACAAATAAATAATCAAACTGTTAATAGAGGTAGCTGAAGACTAATAACCTCACATAGGAATGAGTAAGAGTGGATTTTGTTTTGAGTTTCTCTAAAATGTTTACCAGTCATTTGTATGTGTTTTACTAGTCATTTGTATTTTCTTTTCAATATACTGACTGATTGTATCCTCTGCTGAATAAAAAACAGGTTGTCTTTTTCTTATTAATTTGCAGGAATTCTTATAATTTTAGGAATATTAACCATTTTCCCTTAATGTGTTACAAATATTTTCCCTTAATTTATCTTCTTCAAATGTTTTAAAGTGTTATAAATTCCTTCATTGCTTTTGAGTTTCCATTCTTAGTTAAGAAAGCCTCTTTTGTCTTATATTTTTTCTATGAATTTTTGATTTATTTTTCACATTTAGATATCTAATAAATCTGTAATCTTTCTTGTGCAGATGTAAGATAAGAATCTGATTAAACTTCTTTTTCCAAATAGGATGCTAGTTTTATTATTATTTACCATTTCACCCCAAATCTATAATGTAACTTTTATCATATAAAGATTCCACATTTTTTGCATTTCCTTCTACTCCCCATTCTGATCCACTTGCTTATGTATATTTCTGTGCCATCACAGTGATTACTGACATCTTTACAGTAATTTTCAACAAACGGTATATCCCCACTTATTGTGATGTCTTTCTTAAATAATTTTGGAAATTCTTACACTATAAACTCTAGAGTCATTTTTCCAAGTTCTAAAAAAAGTATTTAGATTATAATTAGAATGGTATTATACTTATATATTAATTTAAAAAACAGACATTTTTAGCATATTAAAATGTTCTCATCCAGGCCTCTCTACTTTTCAAAAGACTGAGTTATAATTGAAATACAACAGTATATTAGTTTCAGGTGTACAACATAATGATTCAATACCTGTAAAATGCTGTGAAATGATCACCTTAATACATCTAGTTATTATTTGATTTGCAGCATCTCTATTTTTAAGATCATGTTTGGAGCCTCCAAAGTTAAATACTGTGGTGACCCCCACCACATTAGTGACTGAAATGGTAATAATCTAGTTAACTCTATTTTTTATCAAATTAATGTAAAGTTTGCTTCTGGCTTCTTATAAATATTAGTTTGTTTGTTTTTTAATCCTCACCCAAGGATACTTTCCCATTTATCTTCAGATAGAGTGGGAGGGAAGGTGGGAGGTGGAGAGGGAGAGAGAGAGAAGGAAAGAGAGAAACATCAACGTGAGGGAGACATCGACTGGCTGTCTCCCGCACGACCCCGACCAGGGCTGGGAAGGCACTGCAACTGAGGTACGTGCCCTTGACCAGAATTGAACCCATAACTTTTTGGTCTGCGGGCCAACACTCCAACCGCTGAGCCAAACCAGCCAGGGCTAAATAGTTATTATTATTATTATTATGTTTTTAATCCTCACTCAAGGACATTTTTGCATTTATCTTCAGATAGAGTAGGAGGAAGAGAGGGAGGAAGAGAGAGAGAAGAGACACATCGAGAGAGACACATCGAGTGGCTGCCACACACATGACCCCAACCAGGGCCAGGGATAAACCGCAACCAAGGTACATGCCCTTAAACGGGAATTGAACCTGGGCCTCTCTGGTCTGCAGGCTGACGCTCCAACCGCTGAGCCAAACTGGCCAGGGCTAAATAGTATTTTTTTTTTTTAAAAAAACTTCCATTCTGTTCTTATATCTTATTTAGAATTCTTATCCATCCTGTCTCCTTGCAAATGAGATCCCACATTTTTTTCTCAGGGCCTCAAGTCCTCTTGGGAACCACTTCCAGGTTCAATTCCTGGCCATTCTTGCTTTGTTGAGTCAGTCACCAAAGCAGAGTTAGGATGGAAGGGAGTTCTCTGGCCAATTTATTAAATAATTCTCCCAGCACATGAACACTAAAGTTGTCTCTTTTTGCTAATGTCTCACAGTGTAGCAATGACAAACATAAAATCTATACCTATATTTTTGTTGCCTTAAGTAAATATTTCTGTAGGACATATTCCTAGAAGTCCTATAGAATTACCAGGTCAGAAGGCACAGGTATTTTAGTTTTCACAGGTAGTGCCAACATGTTCTCTGTAATGTATCAATTTATTCTTACAAATCACAGGGTAGACTGCTTCTTACTTTCACCAGTACTATGTCATCAAATTGTAAAGTTTTTGCTAGTCTGACAGGTAAAAACACAAATAAACAAAACCACCACCATCACAACTACCAACATAAAAACAACCTATTTTGTTATATTTCCCTGATGACTAATGATGCTTAAGCATCACAATTGTTTATAAACTACTTGTGCTTATTTGTGATGGGACTACTCATATCTTTTGATTATTTTAATTCCTTATAGTATGTATATGCAACAATCTACTTCTTTAACCCTAACCTTGCTATTTCCAGAATGAATGCTTGTTGTATTTCTAAAAATATGAATAAAGCATTCTAGAATATTTACCAAAATGAAGAACACTGTATTCCAGAATAAAATAAAATGGACTATATTAGCACATACTGAACAGAATGCCCAAGAAAGAACTTAAATTAATCTCTCTTCTAGGATATAGATTAAACTGCCTGGAATACACCTATTTGTGTTACACAAGAATTTTCACATCTACCATGTCATTTTGTTCCTTAAGGATCTCTAAAAACAAACACGGTAACAAAAACAGAAAAACTAACTTCTGTATATAGCATTCCATATATTCACATTCTAAAAAGACAAATTCGTATAAACCAAAGTACTATTTCTCATGTTTTTTCTGTAAACAAAACAAACCTGCCTGACATTTTAAAAGTAATTCCTTTAGCCCTGGCTAGTTTGGCTCAGCGGTTAGAGCACTGGCCCTCGGACCAACGAGTTGCGGGTTCGATTCTGATCAAGGGCACATACCTCGGTTGCAGTTTGTCCCCAGCCCTGGTCAGGGTCATGCAGAAGGCAATGAGTCGATGTGCCCCTCTCACATTACTGTTTCTCTCTGTTTCTCTACCACTCTATCTGATGATAAATAAAAAAGTATCCTCGGATGAGGAATGAAAAAATAAAAAAGTAATTCCTTAAAAATCCCAAATATTACAAATGCTAAATTTAAAATAGAATATACTTTTTAAAATTTTTTATTTATTCTTAATTTTAATTATTTGTCAGTTATATGGTGAAAAGTATCTTCTCTCAATTTGTAACTTTTTTTCCCACTTTCTTTAAGGTCCCTCATGAAGATAAATTCTTAATTTTAATACAGTAAAATTTATTAATCTTTTATAACTGGTGTTTTTTATCTTAAATCCTTATATTTTCTACTGAAAGGTTTATTTTTAAAATTTTACTTTTGGCATTTAAAACATTAATCTGAATGATAAGAGGTGAAGGAAAAATTTTAAAAAAGAATGTATTATATATACTATAATATTTATACTATATATATAGTATAACTAACATATGTATGTATAAATTGAGCATCTAGCCTCATTATGAAGCTAACAGGTATGGACTATGAAATATATCATGGTTCTGCTGTTTAAGTATCACCTTAGTCTACCACCACACTCCAACAGAAATAGAATATACATTATGGTTAGGAAGCTACCTCATAAAAGATAAAGACTTTGGGGAATGCAAAATGTCCTGTATTAGTGATTTTAAAACTATGAAATAAACTTTCCAGAATACAAAAATGCAGTTACATCACGCATATGAATGTAGGTCATCCATTTTACTTGCTAAAAAAAACCCAAAAAACTTTCAAATAATGTTTTCCTCTCAATTTGTTTGAATATTTTGTTGTTGTTGTTTAATTTCCCTGCTTGCTTTGAAACAGACAAGGCAATCAACAAAGCCTCTTTCAAGGCTTAAAAATATTAGTAACCTAAATTCAATATATGTAGATGCTTAACAAATAACAAAGCCAGTTAATATTCTTTCATGACATTAGTTGAAGGTTGAAATATGAAAGTGCTCTCCATCCAACTCATTTCATCTTTCCCAATGTTCTCTTTATATGCTTCCTTCCTACTTCCTTGAATGAGGGCTTACTTTTTCTTTTTAGTGTACAAGTTGAAGAGCAGTGTTCTGAATGTCATTACACACACTTACACTATAAGTAAAAATTTCAGAGAACTGGAGCTACCCATCAGCTATCAGGTGACTTATCATCTAACTCTTTTCCAAGAATTCCAAGGCAAAGCAGAACACTATCAGGAAAATGAAATATAGTGGGGGCAGAATTACATGAACACTTGTTATGTTGCCCAACAGACAGGGTATATTATTCTTATTTTGAAATAGTGTCAAATACAGATTAATAATTTAGCTAGTACTGGTTTTAGTTTAATAAATTAGTTACCTGTGCTCGTTTTTCCATATCTTGGCACGTTCCTAATTGTTCTTCCATTGCAACTCTGATTTGCCTTGCTTCATATTCTAATTGCCTTCTGGTCATATCTGTTTGTAAGGAAAACTAAAACCACAAATAAAATTAAAATGTTAATATTTCATGTTTGTGGTTTATCAGTAAAAGCAAAGAAAGTACACAAATAAAACAAAAAAAAAAGAATAAATAAATATATGTAAGTTATGATGCATGAGAAAATTATATTTGACTCCAAGAAGTCCTAAAACTTAGATTCTTGGTATTAGGCTTAGTCTGGGTCCCTAACATGAAATGCAGAATTGAAACATTTTTATTGCCCATAGCCACAAATGTCTTTAATTAAATTGTACTATTTCATTTAATATATATAATTGGTCCAGTAAGCCTATCTTTAGTTCCCTTATGATTATTCTTCAGTGAAGAGGTATTACTTTTTAAAAATTTTTTAGAAATCTTTATCGTTGAATGTATTACAGATGTTCCTCATTTTCCCATTAACCCCCCTCCCCAATCCAGCCCCCCTCCTGCCTTTCCCCACACTGTTGTCTGTGTCCACTGGTTATGCATATAAGTTCTTTAATTTATTTCTTCCCATCTCCCAACCTCCCTTCCCTTTGAGATTTGTCAGTCTAGCAACCAATTTGTACTTCTTAATCCCTTTACCTTTTTCACCCATTGCCCCAACCCCCCTCCCATCTGGCAACCAACAAAATGCTCTCTATATCTATGAGAATGTTTCTGTTCTGCCTGTTCATTTTATTTGTAGATTTAATTGTCGATAGATATGTATTCATTGCCATTTTGTTTGTTCATACTTTTTATCTTTTTATTCAAGGAGACTCTTTAACATTTCATATAATAATGGTTTGGTGGTGATGAACTCCTTTAGCTTTTCCTTGTCTGGGAAACTCTTTATATGGCCATCAATTCTAAATGACAGCTTTGCAGGATAGAGTAATCTTGGTTGTAGGTTTTTGCTTTTCATCACTCTGGATATTTCTTGCCACTCCCTTCAGGCCTGCAAAGTTGCTTTTGAGAAATCAGCTGACAGTCTTATGAGAACTCCCTTGTAGGTAACTAACTGCTTTTCTCTTGCTGCTTTTAAGATCCTGTCTTGAACCTTTTGCATTTTGATGCTGATGTGTCTTGGTGTGGGCCTCTTGGGATTCATCTTGTTTGGGACTTTCTGTGCTTCCTGGACTCGTATGTCTGTTTCCTTCACCAAGTTAGGGAAGTTTTCTGCCATTATTGTTTCAAATAGGTTTTTGATTTCTTGTTCTCTCTCTTCTCCTTCTGGCACCCTCAAGATGCGAATGTTGGCATGCTTGAAGTTGTCCCAGAGGCCTCTTACACTATCCTCATTTTTTTGGATTCTTTTTTCTATTTGCTGTTCTATTTTTTGTTTCCTTATATTCCAAATCAATGGTTTGCTTCTTGGATTGACCTACTCTACTATTGAATCTGGGTAAATTATTCTTTATTTCAGTTAGTGACTCCTTTGTTTCTGACTATGCATACTTCATTTCTGACAGGTCCTTTGTTATGCTACTGAGGCCCTCACTAAGTTCACTGAGGTTCTCACTAAGTTCATTGAGCATCCTTATAAGCAGTGTTTTGAACTCAGCATCGGTTAGGTTGCTTATCTCCATTTCGCTTAGTTCTTTTCCTGGGGTTTTGTTCTGTTCTTTCATTTGGGACCTGTTTCTTTGTCTCCTCATTTTGACTGTCTCCCTGTGTTTGTTTCTATGTATTACTTAACGAGAGATATGGGGCTACCTGAGACCAGATGCTGCTTGTTTGAAAGAATTTAGTAAAACCTGAAGCAGGATCCAAGACAGGCCAATCCTATGGTTAAGCAACTGGCAACAGCTTGGGTGGGCCTGAAAGTTGGGCAGGGCGGGGCCTCAGGAATCACCAGAGTGGGGCAAACAGTGTGAGCCAGGTTGCTAGAGTCCCAGATATGGCAGCTGTCTGCCACCCCAGGAAGGGCTCACCAAAGAAACAAAGGCCTCTGACAGCACGTCTGTCCAGGAGAAAGCCCCCTCTCCAGCACTCGCTCCAATGCCAAACAGCTCAGTTCTTCCCTGTATGTCTCTGGTGCCCCTCAAGCTTAGAGGGAGTAAGTCCGATAAGTCCGTGCGCGGGCTCTTTAAGAGGAGCTGCCTGGGGCTCCAGCCGCCTCAGCCTCCCTGAGCCTCAGTTCCCACTGGTTTTTCCAGCCAGAAGTTATGGGGACTTCTCTTCCTGTCACTGGAGCCCTGAGTGGGGCGCCTGGTGTGAGATGAGAACCCCTCAGTCCTCAGGGAGGACCTTCCCAGCCGAGGTATCCTCCTAATTTTTATCCACCACACGTAGGTGTGGGACCAGTCCATTGCGCCTCTGCCCCTCCTACCAGTCTCCATGTGGCTTCTTTAATTTCGTAGTTGTAGGACTTCCATTCAGCTTGATTTCAGATGGTTTTGAATGATGGTTGTTCTGTAGTTTAGTTGTAACTTTGATGTGGTTGTGGGAGGATGCCAGGTATTACTTTTAATTATTAAAAGCTAGCATATTAATGAGGACAACATAGAAAAATAAAAGAACCCAGGTCCATTATCCGTAAGTTTACACCTCAATTTAAGGTAAGGATTACCATATACATGCAGAATAAACAGAAAGAACTTATCCATTTGTAAAATATAGAAAATGAAATAAGAAAAAGCCTTTATGTAATATAGATAATCATAAATCGTGAGGACAAAGTCAACACAAACTTTTTGGTAAAAGTCCGAAAGTGAAGCAAAGTGGAAACAAAAAGAAGTACTTCTTCACAGAGCAAGAGTTAATTCATTCAGTAATCTATTAACTCTAATTACAATTCCAGGCACTGTGATAACTGTTAGACATACAAAAAGATAAAAAAGGACAAAGTAATGAAACATAAACACATCCCCTAAGTGGTAATAGACTAAAAATATGATTAAATGAAGTAGGTAATTAATGTGCTATGAGGGAAATAAGGAAATGCTATAGATTTTTCATGTTCTTTATGCTCAATAGAAAACTGTGTGTGACATGTCTGATTCAGAAGAGCATTCTGTAAGCCCAAGGATTCCAGATTGTATTGTCAGTTAACTGAGAGGAGCTCTGACCCTTTCCTGTTCCTATGCAGAATGTATTCCCACAGGCATATCCAAATTGTGGGTTGTAATATGGAAGAAACTCTGCATGTTATTGCTAATTCCCAATTAGCCAGCTGTAACTCCACTCAAATGTCCTCCACTTCCTAAATCCCCCTGCAAAAAAAGATGAACATGACAGTGTTGCAATAATATGCTTTAGATTTGATATTTTAAAAGCAATGTCTATATCTTGATACATATTTCCATATGAAAGTGTTCTTAACTTGGCTTCCCAATAGTAAAAGCAAATTTGTAAAATTAAAAACCATTTATAAAATGGAGGCAACTGAAATAGGCTAATGTTGCTAAATAACCCATAATAATGTCTTACATAATCTATTAAATAAATGTGATTATTAAATAAATTCATAAAGGAATAATTTAGAGAACTGATCTTTGTTTCAGATATTAACCAACTGCTCTTGAGTTGTCACATACATCTGAGCCCTTTCCTAAATCTGACTACATGCAGACAGTGGTCCCTAAATTTTGTATATTCTAATTACCAAAGTGAATGTTGAACAAAACTATACTTTGGTATTTTTATTTAAAAGAGTAAAAATCGCCCTGGCCGGTTTGGTTCGGCAGTTAGAGCATCGGCCTATGCTCCAGAGAGACCCAGGTTCAGTTCCCGCTAAGGGCACGTACCTTGGTTGCAGTTTGTCCCCAGCCCTGGTTGGGTTGTGTGGGTGGCAACCACTTGATGTGTCCCTTTCACGTTGATATTTCTCTCTCTCTCTCTTCCTCTCTCTCCCTCCTACTCTATCTGAACAAAAAACGGAAAAAAAATGTCCTCGGGTGAGAATTAAAAAAAAAAAAGAGTAAAACTCCCACCAAACCCTCCCGAATTCCTAATCCTTGTTTGCTAATAACTCTCCAGTAAGTTTTCTTTCACTATTTGTGTCTCCTTCATTCCCAGGAAGGTGTTAAGGACACTGTCAGGAAGGGAGATCTCTTCTCTCCTTCTCAAAACCCTGCAAGATTGTCCTAGAGGAATGACTAAACACGTAAGCTTTTAGTTCCAGCTCCTGCCAGACAATGCCCACTCAGGAAACCTGGCTAACTACATGTTTTGGAAAAGGGGTTTTCTTCTTTCTATTTCTGCTTTTTGTTTCTTATGTTCCCTGAAAAGTGGTATTAGAAAATAAAAATCTAAGCTAAGAAAGGAAGATATATTTTAAATATATCTTCTTAAAAATATTTTTTTAAAAATTAAAAAAAATATTTATAAACAACAGCTGAAATAAAGTCTTGTTTGACTTATTATTAATATATTTCAAAAATGTTCTTATATGTGCCACCCCCAAGAATGAAGACAGTGGACATGGAGAGGTTAGGTGGGGAGGAAGAGGCAGACAAGACTAAACTCTTTTTCACACAGTTATATTTGCAAAATAAACAAACTTTTGTATATGCAAAAAGTTATAAGATTCATGTAATTTGTAATAACTGAAAATAGCACTCAAATTATCTTCAAAGATATTTTTATTCAAAAACTATCTGGCAGGATTCCTGTAATATGGTTCAAAATATAGAGATGGTAATAAACACTTCTACAGAGCATGTCTGGCAAGTCAATACACAGAATAAAAAACTAGTTGCCTAGTTAAATCCTGAGTCCTTCAGGATTCAAACTTCATAGATTTTCGTAACCCAGGGCTTAAAATAAATATTTCCTTGAGCACAATTAAGTTTTATCATCTTTATAAACAAAAATTCAATAACTATTATATATTCAAGTTTAAAGTTAGAGAAAACATATTTTAGTTTATGAATAATTATAAATGCAGTTATCCTAGATTTTCAATAGATAATTTAGGTACTTTAGAAAATCAAATTATTAGCCCAACCAATGTGACTCAGTGGATTAAGCATTGTCCCATGGACTGAGAGGTCCAGGTTCAATTCCCAGTCAAGGCACATGCCCAGGTTGTGAGCTCGATCCCCAGTGTGGGGCGTGCAGAAGGCAGCCAATATTTCTCTCACATTGATGCTTCTATCTCTCTATCTCTTACTCTCTCTCTAAAAATATCAATAAAAATATATTTTAAAAAAATTAAGTTATTAAAGTCTAAAATAAGTCATATTGCCAAGCTACTTACATTTTCAGTTAAAGGAAGACTATCTATTCTTTTAGTGAGATTCTGAAGTTGAGCATAATACCAGTCTTTTTCCTTTTCTTCTTTGTCAAGATCAGCAAGAAGTAATGATCTGTTGTTTTTTTTTAGAAAAAAGGTTAAGGTTACACAATGTTAGTCTAGAGTACATTACAGCAATTCTTATTACCTGTTCTCTCTGTAAGCTAAAGTATTAATAATGAATAAATGAAATACACTGATTTTGGATTTTTAAAGATGGGACTTATAATGTTATAATCATTAAAAGTTCAATATTAAATTTTTAAGATTTTTTTCAGCTAAATGAAATGCCAATCAACCTTACTAAATGATTTACATTTCACCAAAGGCATTGTCTTCACATTCATGCACAGTTAAATAATATAATGATGGTTTATAGTAACAAGTACAATATAGCAAACCCCCAAATTAATACAAGAAAAAAGGTTATAATAAAAGAGAAAAGAAAAGCAGTAGTTATGCAGAAAATGAACCTAGAGTACAAGAAGCTGCTGCATCGGACACAGATGTAGTTATTTGCTTCTCTGCAGCCAAAATAATAAAAAATATATTGTCACTGTATAGTAAGAGGGAGCTATTCTGAGGGAGACAAATTTTTTAGTTTGGAATTTGAAGATGAATTTATATTAATTTCTGAACTACCCAAATGATGTTGTCCTCAATAACAATCTATATCAAGATACTCTATCTGAACATTATAAACATAAATGCAAAATAAGAGTGCTACTGAGATAAAACTCAGTTGGAACAAAAGGTATATAATCTCTTCTTATGTGGTTCTTTCCCAAAGCTGTCACTAATACCATTTTCTTGTTTATATTTCCAGAGATAGTCTACAGAAATGCAAGGATGTACATACATTCTTAAACATAAGTAGTACCATGTGTTGTCCTATAACTTATTTTTCACTAAAAAACCTACACTGGAGATAATTTTATATCAGAACATAAAGGTCCTATGTACTTTTGGGCAGGGGCATAGTATTCCACAGTATTCTTGAATCCACAACCAGTTCTATGTTAGAGGGCACTTAGGACATTTCTAACCTTTTGCTATTATAAAGAATGCTGCAATGAATATCCCTACATATAACCTAATTTCACACATGTACAAGCAACTATATAAGATACATTTCAAGGGTATGAAAAATTTTAACATATTGCACTTATTAGATGTTATTTATGCACCTATTACCAATGTAAATGTTTTATCAAACTTTTTTACTGAAGCAAATCAAGTTTGTTTTTCCTCCAAAAATTGTCTATCACTATGGTTTTAATCTGACTCCTTTTAGTATGAGGATAAGCATTTTTTCAATAGCCAGTTGTATTTTCTTGTCTGTGACTTTTCTTACTTATAGAACCTTTACTATGTTAAGAATAACAGCACTTTGTCAGTTATATGGGTTGCAACTATAATTTCTGTTTATCACTTGTCTTTTAACTTTGTTTACAATGTTTGCCATAGAAGTTTTTTGATACTCCTGTAGTATCTGGAGTTTGCTCATACACGGAGAAAAATGTTCCCCACTCAGATATTGTTACTTTAAAACCCTGTTTGATTATAATTTCTTGGGAAAATCTGTATGCATCTATATGGAAGATTCTATTCTTTCTAAAATTCCTTCTCCTTTACTTGAGAAGTAATTTTTAAAATAAGCTCTCACTTTTGTTTGTTTGTTTTTAATCCTCACCGAGGACATTTTTGCATTTATCTTCAGATAGAGCAGGAGGGAAAGAGGGAAGAAGAGAGAGAGAAACATCGACGTGAGAGAGACACATCAAATGGTTGCCAACCAGGGCTGGGGACAAACTGCAACCAAGGTACGTGCCCTTAGTGGGAACCGAACCCGGGACTCTCTGGTCTGCGGGCCGACACTCTAACTGCTGAACCAAACCAGCCGGGGAAGCTTTCACTTTTGATGTAACCTCAATAGTAAGGGAATTCATGGCAGAGAAGTAAGACCCTGCTTATGATGTAGCAACTTCGGGGGAGTGTGGACTAATGAGAAGCTGCCCCCTCCATCCCTAACAAAAGAAGCAGGAAAAGGCACTGCTGAAAGCCTGAACTTCTATCAAAAGCTGAGCACCAAACTAACACAAAGATATGATTCTACTTTTCAACTTTTCTTGGTGAGGACCCAAACGACCCACCAGGACTAAAGTGAGGAAAAGAGAGGAATAGACGGTGATCCTCTGATTGGTCTCTCATAAATAGGCTTTTGAAATAAGAGCTGGGTATGTAAAGTGCTTATACTGACAGACCAATGTAATTGATTGTGGTAGAGTGCGGGGGAGATTAGAGAGAACAGGGACAAGTTGTTACTATAAAATTTAAGTGCAAACTGAAAAAAATGCTCTGGGAAAGCCAAAGCTGTAATGTCTTAAACCAAAATGATAAGTGATAAAATGATAACAAGGAGTTGACCTTGTAACTCACACAGCAGTGCTTAAGGCTCAGAAATGAGACTAGGTCTAGACCCAGAAGCAGGTAGGTCTTTAGGATTTAGTGTACTAATGACTTATTTAGTGACTGTCAATAGTCTTCTTTAAAAATGCTTCTTCGTGTAAGCCTCATGTCTTCTTAGCCCTCTAGCTAACTCAGAGTCACCTAGAAGAGCATGGCACTTATATATTAAGTATTTGATAAATATTTGTTAAATAAGTTAATGGCTAACATGACAATAGCTAACATTTACTGAATGCTCTATATACAAAATATAGTGTGTTAAGGACTTTTTAAAAAATAATCTAGGCATTTTTTTAAATTCTTGCATTTTTTTAAATTCTTGCATTTTCTGCTCCTCAGTTTTGAGGAATGATTTTTAAAAATTTATCTTTATTGTTGTAAGTATTACAGATGTCCTCCCCTTTTTCCCCACTGTCCCCTTCCACCTGCTCCCTGACACCCCCACCCCCACCGAACTCTTCTCTGTATCTATCAGTTATGCATATATGCATATAAATTCTTTGGTTAATCGCACCCCCCCCCCCGAGATTCTCATTCCATAGACTGGAAAACTGAAGTTCAAAAAGCTTACAGAGCTATGAACCTGGGTTTGAATCCTAATTTGACTACTTATTAGCATTTATCTTGTGTAATACAGAAAAAGAGGAAAAAAGAGGCAGAAAGAGTTAATCTATAACTTAAGGAAGGTCTAGAAAGAAAGAATAGAAAAAACTGAGGGAAGGAGAACATAAAAGAAATAACAGAATTTTCAAAAACAGAAGAAAACAAATTTTCAGATCAAAAGGGCACACTAGTATCCAGCAAGATGAATGAAGAAAACACACACACCAAGGCATTGTAAAAGCTTCAAAGAGGAAAAATGGCTGCCTACAAAGGAAGAAGAATCAGACTGGTTTCAAATTTCTCATCAGCAACATTAATAAGAGGAAAATGAGTGTGAACCTAGACCTATTCGAACTATCAATTAAGTGTAAGCCTAAAATAAAGATACTGTCACATAAGCAAGGTCTCAATATTCTTCCTTCCAACACAGTGAGAACCAAGAGGACACAAGATATATCAGAACTACACACACAAACACCCCCTCCCCCTCCTATTAATAAAATCAGAACTTGACCTACATGAAGCAAAGTTTCTAGAAAAGTCAGTATGCTCACATGTCCTTTGCCTCTTAATAGAGCTCAAAGGTGACAAAGAGATAAAAGACTGTGGATCCTAGTTAGCTTCTTATTTTTCAGTATAGTATTTCCTACACTGTCAGAGAGAAAAATAGTCCAGGTTCAAGGTACAAAACAGACTCATGTGAATTTGAGATGAAAAAAAGCTTAACACTATTGGTCCAGGTGATTATACCTATTTTTGTAGATGGACATACCTAAAACCATAGAGAAAGTAATAAAAGGTCTTTTGCTTTTCAGTGAGATAGACTGGACATTTTTCATGTTATTATTCAATTTTCACAACTCTACAAGGTAGAAGAAGCATATTCTTATTTTACAGAAGAAAGCGACACCGAGAAAGAAAACTTTCCCTCCAAAGTTAGCTTGACCAAGGTTCCAGAGCTAATACGTAACTTTTATACATGTTAACATTTCTTGAATGTCTAACAGAATTTTTAGGAATATAAAGATAGTAAGCTTAGTTTAATTCATGCATGAGGAAATGTATACTTTTTTAGGACATATAAATACTTGACAAATTTCTTGATAATGATATATATTCTGATATTTATAATAAGATAATTTTAACTGAAGGAAGAGAAGAATACACTGTGACATACCAGAACTAATTCTGTATGTCAAGCAATGTTTTTCAACACTGAAACTGGTAAATTAAGAAATGCTTTATTTGTGGCACTTGTAACAGGCCTTCCATAATGCAAATAGTCACCTTACACTAGATCTAGTAGTTATTTAGTTCAAAGGATAATCAGAAATGCAATTAAAAATCAGTTATATATTTTAACATAGAGATTGTGATCATGTGTAGGACCCAATGTGCAGAGCATTTGGAGTATATAAGTGACAAAATAGAAGACTTACAATCCCATGAAACTGCCTCCTTTAAATTTTTAGGTTCAAGATAGGGACAATTAGCCACATATTATCTCTGAGTTAATAAATGCAAAATGCTCTCTCAATGTCAGTGGTCACTTAGCATACATACTTCATAATTCATATCTTATATTACAAAATGATAAAATAACAGCAAAGAAAAGTTACCTTTCTTTCTCAAGTTCTTCTAAATAACCAGTATTTTCTCTGCTTCCATTTACAAACCCTCTTCTTGGAAATGAACCCGTAGGAACAGGACTGCACTCTCCTGAACGACTAGATACAGATCCTTCCCGGCTTCCATAAGAACGGAGGGACATTTTTGACCGTAGTTTTACTCCAGAAAAATTACTGCTATCTAAGTTAAGCTCTAAATAAAATAGAGGCAAGTTTTAATATAATAATTGCTTTAAGTAGTCTAATGCAATTATATTTGTTTTAAAAGTGAAATCTTAGGTTCACACTGAGTTCTCAATTTTAACCAATTTTATATAATTGAAAATAGTTTATATATGTTACATAAGGCCTATAGGACTAGAAAATTAATGCAGCCATTGAGCAGCCAATTTATGCAGGGAACAGAAGAAATACTTATCACAAATACTGATGCTCAGAAAAATTCACTGACTCCTGGTTCTAGGCAAATGTAAAGGCAGGAGATATAATAAGAATCCTGAAAAAACAAAAAAATCAGAAAATAGCTAAGCCTTGATGAGGTGGGCTCTCTGAGAGCCTGCAAAAGGACAGTGTACCAAAGCATCGAGTCAATAAAAGGACACACTTCTTGGTTCAGAAGCCTATAAATTTCTGACTGAGAAAAATCACAAATATGTATGAATGACTAATAAACTGTTTAGAAACAGAATGGTTAAACTTTTCCTCCAAAGTTAGCTTGAGTCAGGAGGAAAGGGAGTTAGTTATAGGAAAATTAGACAAAATGTCCTTCCTTAGATTCATGCTAGATAATAATACATTTAAGGACCAAAAGGTAATTTCTTTGCATAGATTCAATTATAATTAAGCATTTTCCCTATAATGACACTGGCATTTTTAATCAATAAAATGAGACATTCTTTTAAAATTCTGCTAAAATTGGCTTACAATCAACTTATATATGTGAGAGGATAAAGCACTTCTATTCCAGATGAAACAGAGAAGGACACTACTTCACATGAGGCAATGGGCCCAGTCTGTGGTATATAGCTTACAATAGGCCTATTTAGTGACCAGCAGAGTACCAATGAGCTTTAAAAAGAGCTTAAAATTAGCAAGGAAGGCATCTAAAATAGTTTATTCAAAGCCAGTAAAACGTTTAACTTAAGAAATAACAAGAAAATAGACTTTTTACATATTTGTACTTTAACAATTACATCCTAATGAATAGGACTGTTATTCCAAGAGAATTGATACCAACACTCAAATCAAAAGAAGTTATACTTGGCTATACATATCTAAAGTTAACAAATGATGCATAAAAAATTATTTTAAAACACTTTTTACAAATGTACCTTTGAGGCGCTCTAATAAATCAACCTGTCCAGAAGATGTCATAGCTTCATCTTCAATACTTCCTTGTAGTTGTTTAAGTACTTCCTGCAATAAAGAATACAACAAAATTCTAAAAATCTTTTTGAAGAACAATTCTAACTTTCTTGGTACTTAGGTATGGTAGGAAGAAAAGTTATTTCAGATCAATCTGGAACATATCACAAGCTATAAAGCACTCCACAGATACTGCCTAGTATGATTTAAGAGTAACAAATTATATCCCAACAACGTTAGTGATATTTTGTGATAATGAGTAGTCTACTTACAAGATACTATATGGAACCCCTAAGACATATTATCTCTAATTTTAAAACAATACAAGGTGGATTATTCTCATTTTCGGATAGATCAACTGAGACTTAAAGACTTGACCAAGCTAGTGAGCAGCAAATTTATACAGGAAGTAGAGGTCATCTTTATCACAAATGCTGATGCTCAGAGAAATTTACTGACACTTGGTTCTAGGTAAATGTAAAGGTAAAAGAGAGAATAAGTAGAAGAATCCTTAAAAACACACACTCTCTCTCTCTCTCAAACAGAAAATGGCCAAGCCTCAATGAGGCTGGCTCATCAGTTATGTATTTAGAATCCATATCTCTTAGGCTTGACCCAACATGACCATGAAAAACATGAAATTAATGCATTACAATAGGCTGTTTTATTTAATACCCTAAAAATATTCAAGCTTTTATATATCACATTTAAGTATATTCTTCTAGTATACTGATTTGTATTCAGCAGCTTTTTAAATGACTATATCCACATTGCCTTCTGACTTTTGATGCCATTATTTCTCTCCCATCTAAATCCTTCTCTTGATTTGATTTGCCAAGATCCTTGAATGTGTCTCTCCTTCAAATTTAGACTGCAAATATTACAGGTTTCTCTCTCCTCAGTCCTTGGCCTCCCACTCTATACAGCTCCGAAATCTGACATTTATCTTTAAAGAAAAATCGGTCATATCTGATACAGGCCCCTTTCCTCTAGTAGGTCCGTCTTTCTCTCTCAAGGATTGCAAGATTATGGGCTGTTTTCTTTGCCTTCTAGCTCTGCCTTATTCTCAGGTGGCACCTGACTCCCTAGCCCTAACGTTCTGTCCCTTGGAGGTTATGAGTCTTTAACCTCCTGCTTCCACAAACTTCAAAGTCTGGCAAGTGTCTTAAGGAGACCTGTGGTGTGAAAGTTATGTGTTTCTCCTACAGCAGGACTTTACATAACATTCTGCCTTCCTAGTCCATCCCCAGTATCCTTCACTACAAAAAGACTCAGTCAATGTTTCATGGGGAAAACTATTCATGCATTTGGATCTCCTCTAAATGTCAATACTTCTCTGTCTACATGTCTGTCAAGACCTCCAATAGTTTCTTTCCTCCACTGGAGTCCTTCTGCCTGTTCCAATGACAAATACCAGTCTGTACACAGAATCAACAGATATCCCTAGGGAAGAAAATCACCAGAGATCTCAACTCATTTAGAAAGGGCTCTTTCCTGTTTGTATTTTAGTTAATGCCGTCCTTGATGCTTTAATTAATACATCCTTAATGTTTTTAAAAGTATGGCTTTTTGTGTATGTTAAGCCAGTGGTTTTTAGTTGCTGCAGTAGGATTAATAGCCTGAGGCTGTTTACTACACATAGTTAAAAGAAGTCGTCCTCAATTTCAAAGAGTGTTTACAACACAACTGGTAATTCCAAATAAAATATTTTAATAAGTGCTTTGAGATATGGCAGATTTTAAAATTAATATGTGGCCCTGGCCAGTTTGGCTCAGCGGTTAGAGCGTTGGTCCGCAGACCAGAGAGTCCCAGGTTCGGTTCCTGCTAGGGGCACGTACCTCGGTTGCAGTTTGTCCCCAGCCCTGGTTGGGGTAGTGTAGGTGGCAAGCAGTCAATGTGTCTATTTCACTTCGATGTTTCTCTCTCTCTCTTCCTCCATTTCTCCCTTCCTCCCTCTCTCCCTCCCGCTCTATCTGAAGATAAATGCAAAAATGTCCTTGGGTGAGGATTAAAAAAAAAATGTTATTTTGAAGGAGACAACATTTATTTGTATTTATAAATTCTGGAAGCTTGGTTTTTAAAAATTAGTTACATTATATAATCACACGTTGGAAAAAACATTTTAAGATTTTAGAAACATTTGAGAATTATTTTTTAGAGACAAAATGTGTTACGTTAATATCAGTGAATAGAAAATATTTACCTATGAGCAACAGTCATGGGGGTTGCTACTTGACCCACTTCTGTCTGGTTTTCTCAATACATTACAGTTATAGATTCTTTTCATTACCAGATATACATACATTTGATAATTAAATCTCTAAAATAAAGTATGAAATATGTCAATTTTAATATTAATTTTTCATTTTTTCCATACACTCTGAATATAGAAGATACTTTACATGTATATGGTTTTAAAACTTATAGAGCAATTTATAAATATTTCATTTTGTCAAAATACAACAGGTACAAATGTTTCATTAATAATTTCCCTATAATTAATACATAACTATCAACAACTGAATCTACAAACAAAATGAGCAAGCAGAACAGAAACAGACTCACAGATACAGAAAACTTTTTGTTGCTTGCCAGATGGGCAGGGGCTGAGGGGATGGGTGAAAAGATGAAGGAATTAAGAAGTATAAATAGCCCTGGCCGGTTTGACTCAGTGTTTAGAGCGTCGGCCTGCAGTACAGAGAGACTCGAGTTCGGTTTCCGCTAAGGGTACCTCTGTTGCAGTTTGTCCCAACCCTGGTTGGGTCATGTGGGAGGCAGCCACTCATGTGTCCCTTTCATGTCGATGTTTGTTTCTCTCGCGTGCACGCACGCGCTCGCGTTCTCGCTCTCTCTCTCCTTCCCACTCTATTTGAACAAAAAATGAAAAAAATGTCCTCGGATGAGGATAAAAAAAAAAAAAAAGAAGTACAAATAGGTTGTTGCACTGATGAACCTCAAAGGGAAGGTGGGAGAGAAGGCGGGATGAGATAAACCAAAGACCTTCTATGCATATATGCAAAACCAGGGGACACTGACAATAGTGTGGGGGTGGAATTGGGGGAAAACAGGAGGGACATACGTAATACATTCAACAATAAAGATAAGCTAAAAAAAATTTGCCTACAGATAATATTTTCTACATCATGCCATCTTTTAGTTTAAATGTTTCACATCTTCCATAATTACCATGTTGATATGCACAGCATTTGAAATCAATCAAACTGAGTTTTAGCCCTGGAGTAAAAAATACAGTACATACTTTATTAAAGTTTAATCACAAGTTCTGCATTTATCTGATTCCAGGTCAATGAAATCCTCTGAAATCTCTATTATATATTATATTTTTATTACAGAAAATGTCAAACATATACAGAAGTAGAAAGAACATTATAATGAACTCTCATATATCTTCACATCCTCCTTCAATAATTATCAACTCATGTTTTAATTCATACACCTATTAACTACTTTTTTCATTTTCCCACATCTATTCAGATTTATTTTGCAAACAAATCTCAGATATATAATTTCTTCTGTAAATATTTCAATATGCATATTTAAACAAGGATTGTTTCTAAACACAATCACAATGCCATCATTATACCTAAGAAACAAACATCTCCTTAATATTCTCAAATATACAGTCAGTGTTTGCAGTGTTATATACTTATACTACAAAAATATTTTTATAGTTTATATCAATGCCATGTAATCAACAGCAAACAGTTTTCTCTTTTGCCACTAGATGGTACTACTGCATAAACTGCAGGCATCCTTAAATGATCTAGTTGGAGAGGACACACCTTGTCTTTCTTCAGGATAAAGAGCTTAATGATTAGGAAACATGATTCAAGACTGCACAATGTATTCCAAAGTCTGATAAGTGGGGGGGGGGGGGGGAGTGAATAACTATTGTTTTGGATAAACTTTAATCCAACATAGAAAGTGCCAATGTTTCTAAGTGTCTTTTTACAAATCAATATTAAAGTCTCTCTCTCTCTTTTTTTTTTGCATTTATCTTCAGATAGAGTGGGAGGAGGGGGAGAAAGAGAGAAACATCGATGTGAGAGAGACACACTGAGTGGTTGCCACCCACATGACCCCAACAGGGCGGGGACAAACTGCAACCAAGGTATGTGCCCTTAGCGGGAACTGAACCCGGGACTCTCTGTTCCACAGGCTGATGCTCCAACTGCTGAGCCAAACCGGCCAGGGCAATATTAAAATCTCTTAAGGAAGAGATATATGTTATAATTTCCTTATAAGGTTGCAATTGCTATGATACCATATGCCCAATCCTAAAGAAATATGTGCATAGATAAGCAAGAATGTCTTGTGGATGCACATGCTGAACAATTATCAAATTCACGGTTGAATTCAGATATATCTTAAATGCCATTATTCAATGCCTATTTCCAAAAGGATGTCATATATTATATCACCCTGATAAGTTGTCAACCATTGCAGAAATTTAAGGGTCTGATCTGTCATTTACTCTGACATTCCACTTCAGAATGGAGATGGATCTAAGGGTAGGTTAAAATGTCTACCAAAAATGAAGTTTGAATTTACTCAAGTAGTTAAACTTAAGTCATCTCAGAGCTCTATATTACAAAAGAGACATTCAGATAGGCCAGCCAGGGGTTCTCTGCAAAATACACCTCCAAAGTAGATGAAAGAGTAATTCTGCTGGGAATTTTTAATTTTGTATCTTTAAAACTTTTAAAAACACAAGTCATGTAAACAGTTTTAGATACATTGTGTTGATCAGTGTTAAAATACCAAACTATTCTTTTTTTTAACCTATTAGGTATTGAATTCTGCTGTTTTTAAGGTCACCCATAGTTTGTGGTAAGAAAATGTTTGTTTATATTCTACCTTATTTCCAAATGGATTTAAGGTAGATATCTTGTAGATTTGTCGTTTCTGGGTATAGTTTTTACAACAGAAATAGGCAATTAGAGCAGAAAAGATTTATAGACAGACAGAGAGAATAATACATATGAGTAAAAAGGTTGAACTGTTATGACTTTTAATATAAAGAATAAAAGAGGAATAAAAATAGTTCAGTGATATACAGAAGCTTGAAGAATAAGGGAGACCTCAAAATGCATAGAAAAAGAACTCAGAAGAGAATAAACATTCAAGAATAAGGAGTAGTGAACAGACAGGAAGAACAGAGTCAAGAACCCAGATATTAAAATAGCCAAGGGGCAGAAACAACATAAAGCAGGAAGAATTTTTTAAAAGGGAAGGAGGTAACAGTTTTATTGATGATCTCCAATTTTACAAAGTTATTAAATTCAGTGAGAAGAAAATCTACCTCAGTAATTAAAAATTAAAACAGTTCAAGTTTTGCCCTGGCTGATGCGGTTCAGTGGTTAGAGCATCGGCCCACACACCACAGGGTCTCGGATTCGATTCCCAGTCAAGGGCACATACCTGAGTTGCAGGTCCGATCCCCAGCCCCAGTCTGGGTACACGCAGGAGGCAACCAATCAATTTGTCTCTCTCACATCTCTCTCTTTTTCCCACTCTCTCTAAAAATCAATGGAAAAAATAACCTTGGGTGAGGATTAACAACAACAAAAAAAGCTACAGTTTTAACCTTGATTATTTTGAAATCAGAACATGTTTTCCCCAATGCAGACTGAATATTTTATATCTCTTCTTGGAGGTTATATAGCTTCTCAATGTTATTTGGCAAACCAATTTTAGGGCTTGAAGGTGTCATGAAAATCCTCTAGGCTAGTGCAATGCCTATATTTTCCTAATAAGGCAACTTAAACTTAAATCCAGAACGGGACCCAAAGGTGATGCAACTTAGCTTGTGACAACACCAAGAACAGGGCTAGGTAATGACTTTCATTCAAGTCGCTTCCCACTAGGGCATCCTGATTTTCTTGATAATCTATTAATGCAACATTTAAGTAGCAACAAGATCTGAAGAGAGTTGTGGAAGAAGGCTATATTTAAAAATTGAGATATATTCTAAAGTTGTGAAGCTAGTTCCTATGAAATACATATGACATCCAGCCTCAGTGGAGTGATGTTAAAGTGATGCTTAAGCTTAAAAATAAGTTAAGAACTAACTAACCAGTCACTGAGGTTTTACCCTTATTTCTTTATATGATTCACTGGATGAATAAAAGACATTTTATATAAAAGTATAAATGTTAACATTTGTAAGAAAATAGTTTACATATTACCACTTAACTTAAAATATATATTTAAGTAAGTGAAGCGTCTAACCCCAAGTTTGCAAGAGGGAATACTGAATAAAAATGGATAAACTACAATTAAAAGTCACAGTCTTGATACCTTCATATTAGATGCCTCAGTTTCCAGTTTTGTAAGATGATTGGAATTATCTTCTAGCTCTTGTCGAAGATTTGAGTTCTCCATCTTCAGTGCCTCAACTTGCTTTAACAACTGATCATATGAAGCTGCAGCCATCCTTGGCTACCCTTGGACCTATAAGGTTAAAAAGGATTTTGAAATTCACTACTAAAAATAAAGTGGCTGCTTGTTTACAAAGAAAGGGATAAAGAAATAAAACTCTTGAGACATTTAAGAAGAAGAATTGTGTTAATATGCTAGTTTAGTCCTCAAAACAATATTGTTCAAGTAGCAGCATCTAAGAAGATGAAACAATTGAGTCTTAGCTGAAGACAAACAGGATTAAAATAGAAGAGAATGTCGGAAGTATCTGAATACATCTGACTTTCACAGTGGATGAAATCTTTATCAGGTAAGAAGTTTTTCAAGGTTTTAAAGATATTTACCTGGTTTAACAGGTAAAATCTAGGAAATGTAGTTATTGATAAGAAATTTATTTATATTAGTAATATTAACTTATTTCTGAATTTTGTCAACAGTCAGAATTTTAGAGCCAGAATGGATTAATGAGATAAGGTAGTGCATTCCATCACTTTTCATTTGATAAAAGGCTAGTCTTAAACATCATCCATGGAGAAATAGTTCTGAAGTTTCAAGAAGACCTCATTAAAAGGCAGTCATTTAACAAAATGAACACAAAAGAAGAACATTAGATTGAGACTTCAAATCTTTTTGATAAGAAGACGATAAATAGGAATTATTGATATCAAGTTATATTATTACATTTATTCAAAAAAGAATGAACATAATAAGCCTAGCTATGGCATATGAGGTCTTGGAACCCACTGTGCTCAGATTGAGGCCAAAAGGCATTTATATGAATGTGAAAAAAGAGGGAAGAAAAGAAAATGTATAGAAGTCAGCCAGTTAATAAGAGGTCCTTGCCATGAAGAATTATAGAAAGCAAGGAGTTATATTTAGACTAAGTTAGGAAGACCCAGATTCTCTTTTTAGTTTAATCCCCAAATCACTTTGGAATAATAAAATCTGACTATCATAATTCTTATTTTTTCTTAAAAAAAAATGTTTTTATTGATGTTTTTAGAGAGAAAGAGAGATAGAAACATCGATGTGAGAGAGAAACGTTATCAGCTGCCTCCTGCACGCCCTCTTCTGGGGATCCAGCCCACAACCTGGGCATGTGCCCGGATCAGTAATCGAACCAAGACCTCTGAGTCCATGGGATGACACTCAATCCACTGAGCCAAACTGGCTGGGCATTCTTCTTCTTTTTTTAATCTCCACCCAAGAATATGTTTTATTGATTTTAATTTTTTTAGAGAGAGGAAGGGGTAGAGGGAGGGAGGGACAGAGAGAGAAAGAGAGAGAGAGGAGAGAAACAGAGGGAAACATCGATGTGAGAGAGAAACATCAATCAGTTGCCTCCCGTATACACCCCAGCTGGGGATCGAACCCAAAACTGTTTGGTGAATGGGATGATGCTTCAATCAACTGAAACACCTGGCCAGGGCAAACATAATTCTTTAAGAGTTAAAACAATATTACAGGGAGAAAAATGGTGGCAGAGTAAATGGAAGCTACACAGACAGTCTTCCAAGACCAAACTGGAATTACAACCAAAATAAAGACAAGTCATCTGGAAAATCCAACTGAAGAGCACCTGAAGAGAACCCTTATAACCACGGACATAAACAGGACCCTAAATTGAGACTGGTAAGAGGTGCGGAAGCACGAGAGGGCTAGCTGGGTTCCCACAAGCAGCAGCTAAGGGCTATTGTAGCTGTGGGAAGGTCCTTCTGACAAGTCAGAGGATTAAACCCCAAGCTGGCTCCCCAGCACAGGGTGGTGGAACAGGGAAAGGTGCCCACATAACACCTGGCTGAGAAAATCACCAGGCAGAGGTTTTGTCCAGTAGGGAAAGGCGCAGTGAACACCAGCACTTCCCTGAAGGGCCAGTGCTCTAAATTACAGCTACAGCCACTCACCTTAAACTCCCGTTGAGGGAGGGCAGACTGGACTGGAACTGTGTGAGGAGAGTCGGGGGTTCATGGAACTGGGGAGAGAACTGGGAAGACGGCCATCAGGGGTCCTATGCTGAGTCATTTTCTCAAAGAAGCCCACACCAAGACACGTCATAATTAAAATTCCCCAAATTAAAGACAGAGAATCTTAAAGGTACTAAGAGAAAGCAACAAGTTACCTACAAAGGGGCTCCAATAAAGCTATCAATTGATTTCTCAACAGAAACACTACAGGCCAGAAGGGAATGGTACGAAATATTCAAGGTAATGAAAAACAAGGATCTGAATCTAAGACTACTCTATATAGTAAGGCTATCATTCAAAATAGAAGGTGAAATAAAGAGCTTCCCACACAAAAAAAGGGCTAAAAAAATGCATTAACACCAAACCAGCACTGCAAGAAATGTTAAAAGGACTGCTGTAAAAAGCAGAAGAAACAGAGAGAGAAACACAACCATAATAAATAAAAATGGCAGTAAATAAGTACATATCAATAACCTTAAATGTAAATGGATTAAATGCTCTAATCAAAAGACACAGAATAGCTGAATGGATAAGAAAACATGAGTCACATATAGGTTGTGTACAAGAGACCCACCTCACAAAAGACTCACAATTTGAAAATGAAGAGATAGAAAAAAAATTTCCAAGCAAATGGAAATGAAAAAAAGGCTGGGGTAGCAATACTCACATACTCTGATAAAATAGACTTCAAAATGAAGGCCGTTACAAGAGACAAAGAAGGCCACTACATAACAGTGAAATAATCTATCCAATAGGAGGATATAACCTTGGTAAACACCTATGTACCCACTATAGGAGCACCAAAATATATTAAAAAACTTCTGGAGGACTACAAAGGAGAAACTGACAGCAATACAATCATAGCAGGGGACTTCAACACTCCACTGACATCACTGGATAGATCCTTTAGACAAAAAATTAACAAGGAAACACAGACACTAAATGACACACTAGATCAAATGGATTTAATAGATAGTTACTGAGCATTACACCCCGAAACTGTAGAATACACATTCTTCTCAAGTGCATACGGAACATTCTCAAAGACAGAGCACATGTTAGGGCACAAAGTAAGTCTCTACAAATTCAAGAAGATTGAAATCATATCAGGTATCTTCTCAGATCACAATGGCATGAAACTATAAATTAATTACAATAAAAACACTCAAAAACATTCAAACACATGGAAGCTAAAGAGCATGTTATTAAGTAATGAATAGGTTACTAAGGAGATCAAGGAAGAAATAAAAAAAAACTTTCTGGAAATCAATGAAAATGAACACACAACACAAATCTATGGGACGCAGTAAAAGCAGTCTTCAAAGGGAATTTCATAGCCTACCTCAAGAAACAGGAAAAATTTCTAATAGACTATCTAACTTCACAAATTAAAGAACTAGAAAGTAAACAAAAAAACCCAGAGCAAGCAGAAGGAAAGAAACAGTAAAGATCAGAGCAGAAATAAACAACACAGAGACTAAAAAAACAATTCAAAAGACCAATGAAACAAAGAGTTGGTTCTCTGAAACAATAAACAAGATTGATGAACCAGACTCACCAAGAAACAAAGAGAGAGGACTCAAATAAACAAAATCAGAAACGAAAGAGGAGAAGTAACAACTGACACCACAGAAATACAAAGGATTGTTAGAAAATACTATGAACAATTATACGCCAACAAATTAGATAACCTAGGCAAAATGGACAAATTTCTAGAATCATACAATCTCCTAAAACTGAACCGGAAGAGTCAGAAAACTTGAACAGACCAATAACAACTAAGAAAATTGAAACTGTAATCAAGAAATTCCCAGCAAACAAAAGCCTGGGTCTGGATGGCTTCACAGGGGAGTTTTACTGAACATTAAAAGAAGAATTAACACCCATTCTCCTCAAACTATTTCAAAAAATTCAAGAGGAAGAAAGACTTCCCAGCTCTTTTTATGAGACCAGCATAATCCTAATTCCAAAACTAGATACACTACAGAGAAAGAAAACTATAGGCCAATATCCCTAATGAACACAGATGCCAAAATCCTCAACAAAATATTAGCAGATCGGATCCAGCAATATATTTTTAAAAAATTACTCAACCATGACCAAGTGGGATTCATCCCAGGGATACAAGGGTGGTATAATATTCACAAATCAATAAATGTGATACATCACATAAACAAAATGAAAGATAAAAATCTTATGATCATATCAATAAACACTGAAAAAGCATTTGACAAAATCCAGCACCCATTTCTGATAAAAACACTCAGCAATGTAGGAATAGAGAGATCATATCTCAAATAATAAAGGTCATATATGAAAAATCTACAGCCAAATAATTCTCAATGGGCAAAAACTAAAAGCATTTCCCTTAAGAACAGGAACAAGACAGTGACGCCCACTTTCCTCACAGCAATTAGACAAGCAGAAAAAATAGACTCAGGTCTAGTCAGTTCTCCAAGAGCAAGAATCACTGATAAACCTGGTACAACCTATTTTCATCTGAGGAAGAAAGGAAGTCCTGGGAGGTGAGGATGACTCACAAAAGTCTTTATGATAGAAAAGAATGAGCATTAGACTTTTACTTGGAGACCAGGGTGTTAATTTCAGGTTTAGTCACAGTTTAACCATTGCCCCTTCATTTTAATTCAGTTTACTATTTGTAAAATGGACAATTTATTACCTACTCTAATATAATTTATAGGGACATGGTTAGCATTAAGTAACAAAAGGCAGGATGAAAAATAAAAGTGCTGTGTAAATATAAGTTATATTATAAAAACAGACATGAAACATAACTTCCTTATTAAGACTTAATGTTGATTTACTGTTATAAGACCCTGCCCCCCCCCCACCAATGAACAAGAGATGAAGAATTCACCCTTTTGAAAAGGACAGAGGAGATGTCTCGAAAATAAAGAAGAAATTCTTACATTGAAACATATTAATAAGGTCTGGAAATATGCAGCATATTAAAAGCATGTGATAAGAGGTAGGAATCTGACAGAATTTAATAATGTAAGCCCTAAAAGTCTTTATTTCAAATAAAATTTTAACAGATTATTTTGCACT